TATAAACTATGATAGCTTTTAGTGGCTTTTACGATAAATATACTATAAAAATTGTTTGGATTATATAACATTTTATTTGGTCAAACCTATCTTAATTAGGTGAGCTTATAATTTAGTTTTTCAAAAGCTGGGGTATACCAGCTTTTTAAAATGTGATTTATAAGCTAACTTATTTGGTATTTTACCAAACATGTAGAAATAAAAAAGCTAGCTTAAAAGCTAGTTTGACCAAAAAATAAGCAATTATATACACCCTAAGATAAATCATCTTGATAGATTAAAATGAGCTAACTTCTCTTCAAAATGAGGTGTTTTGTCATCCATTGTTATAAATATCCGTGATATGGCCAATATATCGATTAATATACCATTTTATAGGGCTTGCTACAAAATGATATAGTCTTAATATCCTTTACTGTATTTTGGCAATTTTTTGATTATATATCTCTGACATGGTCGATATATCAGTTGATATATTGGCTGATATGTCCTTTTATATGGCTTGTCATAAAACAATATGCCTTTATTGGCAATTTTTCTGCAACATATCAAGTGACATTCGACCTTAAACAAACCCGCCAAGACGTTGCAATTTCGATTTGGATTTTATTTAAAAGAATAGTTTAGATTTATGGTTCAATTGAGTATGCTTATATTTCATTAATTGTGTTAGGTTATATTTTAGGACATTATAATATATGCACATCATCTAGCACTCTGATATTTACTACATGTTCCTGATATTTCCAAGATATCCGCAATCCGACATGGATAATTGTATGATATTTCGTTGATATTCGATATTTAAAATCTTGTACTCATTTAGCTCTTTGAATGGATCGTAAAATGACCATTTAGTTATGAGGAAGGTCCTGATATATTTCCCTCTTTTCCTACCTAACATGATAACTACTTGAATAATTATTGGCAATTTTTCTGCAACATATCATGTTATTGGCAATTTTTCTGCAACATATCAAGTGACGTTCGACCTTAAACAAACCCGCCAAGACGTTGCAATTTCGATTTTATTTAAAAGAATAGTTTAGATTTATGGTTCAATTGAGTATGCTTATATTTCATTAAGTGTGTTAGGTTACATTTTAGGACATTATAATATATGCACATCATCTAGCACTCTGATATTTACTACATGTTCCTGATATTTCCAAGATATCCGCAATCCGACATGGATAATTGTATGATATTTCGTTGATATTCGATATTTAAAATCTTGTACTCATTTAGCTCTTTGAATGGATCGTAAAATGACCATTTAGTTATGAGGAAGGTCCTGATATATTTCCCTCTTTTCCTACCTAACATGATAACTACTTGAATAATTATTGGCAATTTTTCTGCAACATATCATGTTATTAGCAATTTTTCTGCAACATATCAAGTGACGTTCGACCTTAAACAAACCCGCCAAGACGTTGCAATTTCGATTTGGATTTTATTTAAAAGAATAGTTTAGATTTATGGTTCAATTGAGTATGCTTATATTTCATTAAGTGTGTTAGGTTACATTTTAGGACATTATAATATATGCACATCATCTAGCACTCTGATATTTACTACATGTTCCTGATATTTCCAAGATATCCGCAATCCGGCATGGATAATTGTATGATATTTCGTTGATATTTGATATTTAAAATCTTGTACTCATTTAGCTCTTTGAATGGATCGTAAAATGACCATTTAGTTATGAGGAAGGTCATGATATATTTCCCTCTTTTCCTACCTAACATGATAACTACTTGAATAATTATTTATGCAGAATGAGTCAACTAGTTTAACACTTTTTTTAATACCCGATCCTTAAACCTTTCCAAAATAAAATGTTCTAGACTATACGATAAATCCTCGTCATTTTTTTCTTATTACATACTAGATGACAGGCACATGCATATTGCGCATGCAAAAAAACCAATTTATCTAAATTAATTTAATATTGATAATGACATTATTTTGTGTGTAGCTCAAAGAAAATTATTGCTTAAATTTTTATATGTTTGTTTGTGAAAATTAATTCAATGAAAGGAGTAAAGTCTCATCCAACAAATGCGATTGATACACACACACAGACACATACATATATTTTTTATTTTTGAGATGAATAGTGTAGAGATCTGAATTCATTACTATCTATAATCCACCTTGAATCATTTACCATTTGGGTCATAGTTTATGGCCACAATCATTCTTAAATTTTAGTTCTGATTCATTATTTTTTATTTGTACCTTGATTTGATTAATTATACTTTATATAATTATATAGACTTTTGTTTATAAAGAAATGTAGACATTGTCTATGTTTATGGAAAAGCATTGATTAAACTGTTTTAGAAACAACAAAGAGAAAAAAAAAGTGAATATTCAAATTGTATAGACTTTATTTATGATTATGGTAAAATATGGATAGAATGTCCTAAAAACAATAAAGGGACAAAATCTTTTTTTTTTGTTAAATTATATTTTTACCCTTCAACCATCGTAGGAAAGAGGGCATGTCCACCACTCATCAATTTTTTAGATTGCTCTCACTTGGATCATTATATAGTAGTATAGATATTTGTCTTGTCACTTAACCATGAATTAATACTTGCTGAAAGGATTTGGTATAAAATTTTAGGTCATTGCATATGTCATAATGTAGTAATCACATGTACCTGTGAAAGAAGTACCTTGAAATTGAAGCAAAATTTGATGGGATCATTGCATGTTAAATTTTTAGCCTGAGCCCCAAATCCATGTACCATCCCATACATGAGAGAAGTTATGCAGTGATCTTGATAATTGGCCATGGGAGCTGCGTATTCCTAGATCTATGCGAGATATAAAGATCTGAAGATCACTGGTACATTAATCCAAGTTCCTTTGATAATATTAGTCCTAGTTGAGGGTGACGTGGAGGAGGTCCAACCACCATGCTTACTAGGCATGAAAATATCTGGAGGAGGTCCGCATCCATGTACCATCTCATACGTTGTGAATACTAGGAATGTGTCATTTGGGTTGAGCGATGAAGATAGAGGGCAGGCGATGTACTGGCACAGTGAGACGTTGGCAGTTGCGTTCGGGCTGATGAGCTTGGGATCAGGGCGTCGCGTTAGAATTGTGAAAAACTCGAGGATATGTGAAGATTGTCACTCAGGCGTTGAAAGCTATTTCTCATGTATACTGGACGGAGATTGTTGTCAGGGACCGGTCTCGATTTCACAGGCAGTTGCTCATGTAATGACTACTGGTAAGGGATTCTTCACATTCTTTTTCTTAATTAAACTAAACATCAAATGCAATATACATCAACGCGAGCAATTGACATAGGCTTCTTTGTAGGCATGCTTGCCGTGAGATGCAAAAAAAAAAAAAAAAAAGGAGAAGATCAAGAATAGGCATGCTTGCCGTGAGATGCAAAAAAAAAAAAAAAAGAGGAGAAGCTCAAGAAATTTCATACAGGTTCCAAGAAATTTAATACCCAAAAAGGGAGAGAAAGACCAAAAAACTAGACACAAATATTCAGGGGAAAAATTTACTTCATATATATGTTATTTTTCGACAACAAGTTACGAGAGGGTTTAAGGAGAGTAAATCTCCTCCTGACTCGCCTAACGGAAAAAATCCATATGTAAAAGAAAAGTGAGTTAATCCACCTTAACTTATCAAATATGAAAAAAATAAGTCATCTAGATAGATTAACATGAGTTTACTTCTTATCAAAATGAGGTGTTTTGTCATCCATTGTTGTAAATATCCGCGATAAGGTCAATATATCGACTGACATATCATTTTCTTGGGCTTGCTGCAAAACGATATAGGCTTAATGTCCTTTACCGTCTTTCGGCAATTTTTCGATGATATATCTCTGACATGGCTAATGTATCAGTTGATGTGTTGGCAGATATGTCCTTTGTCTGGCTTGTCATAAAACAAACCAGCCAAATTTTCGGCGATATATCATGTGACGTTTGACCTCAAACAAACCAGCCAAAATGTTACGATTTCGATTTGGATTTTTTTTTTCAAAAGAATAGTTTAGATTTATGGTTCAGTTGAGTATGCTTAGATTTCATTAAGAGTGGTAGATTACATTTTACGACAATATAATATATGTGCATTATCCGACACTCTAATATTTACTATATATTCCTAATATTTTCTTGATATCTGCAATCCGATCCGGTTTGGATTTTAATTGTCTAATGTTTCGTCGATATCTGATATTTAATACCTTGTACTCATCTAGCTCTTTGAAACGTATTGAAAAATGACCATTTAGTTATAAGGAAGGTCATGATAATATTCCCCTCTTTTTCTGCCTAACATGATAACTACTTGAATCATTATTATTATTAGTTATAAGGAAGGTCATGATAATATCTCCCTCTTTTTCTACCTAACATGATAACTACTTGAATTATTATTTATGCAGAATGGGTTAACTAGTTTAACTCTTTCTTTGATACCTGATCCTTAAATCTTTCCAAACTAAGTTCTTCTAGACTATATGATAAAGACTCCTCATTTCTCTCTCTCTTTATTACGTATATATATGTAGAAAAATTCCTCAAGGACCCAAAATATAGGACCAATAGGGAGGACAAGTGAGGTGTCCCCCTCCTATTGGATAATGAGTTGGTCATCATTAATGATGACCAACTCATTATCCAATAGGAGGTGGACACCTCACTTGTCACCCCTATTGGTCCCATATTTTGGGTCCCTGTAGCAAAGCTCATATATGTATTTGTCTATCGCTTAACCATGAATACTTGCTGAAAAGATTTGGCATCAATTTTTAGGCCAGGGCGTATATGTCATGACGTAGTAATAACATGTACTGAAACAAAATTCGCTGAGATCATTGCATGTTAAAGTTTTTTAGCCCGAGCCCCAAATCCGTGTACCATCCCATACATATGAGAGAAGCTATGCGGTCATGGGAGCTGTGTAATCCATGTTCCTTTGATAACATTGGTCGTCCTAGTTGGGAGTGACGTGGAGGAGGCCCAACCACCGTGCTGACTGGGCATGGAAATATCTGGAAAAATCACAAAACAATAAAAGGTGTCATCCAATCTCCCATCGCTTTTAGATCACGGATGGGCCCCAGCAGATCCCCTCCCCCGCACATAGAACTTTCTAGAAACAACCTATCTAATTGTTGGTTGCTGACGAATGGGTCAGCAGCCCCCGATGTAGAACTTTCTCAAAAAAAAAAAAAAATCTTCCTCAAAAAAGGAAAAGCTCGCTCAGCTGTGACCCCATTAATCCCTATCCAGAACTTTCGTCTGCTCCCCCTATAAATAGTGCAAGCTCCGGGTGCCAGCTCACACAGTTCACTCCGCCCCCAAGCAGAGAACGAGACCGACCAGAGAAATAGACCCTTCGGTTAAATTCAAGCCTTGCCCGTTCTTTTGATTTGAACTTTAAAAGTTTAAAAAAAATGGAGCATTTGGTGGTGGTGAAGGATGAAGTGGAGGAGGAGGAGGAGGAGGAGGTGGTGGAGATTGTTGTGAGCCCAAGGCCCATCGAAGGCCTGCATGAGACGGGCCCTCCTCCGTTCTTGAGCAAGACATTTGAGATGGTGGAGGACCCAGATACCGATCCGGTGGTATCTTGGAGCCGAGGGAGGAACAGCTTCATCGTCTGGGATTCTCACAAGTTTGCGAGCACTCTTCTCCCTAAATACTTCAAGCACTGCAACTTCTCTAGCTTCATTCGCCAGCTCAACACTTATGTAAGTTCTTCATCTCTCTCTCTCTCTCTTTGATATCTCCTAGATTTTATAGCTCATTGCTTTGTTTTTTTTTTTGTTTTCCCTCAAATTGGGTTGCGATAATTTAGAACCCGGATATGCTCGTTTATGTATTGTTTTCTGTTGTGGTCTTATCAAACGATGACATATGATTCTGATCCTACTGGAAGTTTCGAGTGCAGCCCAGCTACCCATCACTTTATTGAAAAGAGTAGCTCTATTTGTTTCGTCAAAAAAATTGTTTTTTTGTGAGGTGTAGGTCTCAACCGTTACCTGTCCTAATACTTGTATTGATCTCAACAGGGTTTCCGAAAGGTTGATCCAGATCGATGGGAGTTTGCGAACCAGAGGTTTTTAGGAGGTCAGAAACATCTCCTGAAGGGCATCAAGAGGCGCCGGAATATCCATCATTCTTCTCATCATCCTCATCACCAGCAGCAAGGAGCCCATATCCAACCTGCGCAAACAAGCGAGGCCTGTATCGAATTGGGAGAGTTTGGGCTCGAAACAGAAGCAGAACGCCTGAAGAGAGACCGCAACATTCTGATCATGGAGATCGCCAAGCTCAGGCAACAGCAGCAGAACTCTCGTGCTCAGGTCACCGAAATGGAGCAACGCGTAGAATGCACAGAGAGGAAGCAGAAGCAGACGATGGTCTTCTTGGCCAAAGCTCTCAAGAATCCTGGCCTTGTTCACCAGCTGTCGCTTCTCAGCAAACAGAAACAACAGCTGCTGGGAAAAGCTGCTAAGAAGAGGAGATTGCCGCCAAACACGGGCTTTGAACACGTGCAAGATGGTGAAGAGGTCGGAGGTGAATTGGAGATCGAGAACATGATATCTGAGCTGGTGGGCTGCGGAGAAAGCAGTTCGAGCAGAGCGAAAAGGGAAGAGAAGGTGCTGTTGGAATCGAGCAATCAGAATGCGGATGGCATTAGTGGAGCAATGTGGGACGAGTTACTGAATGAAGCTCTGCTGCCAGAAACTGGAACTGAGGTGGAGGAATTGGTTAGGGATACAATTGGAGTTGTGGTGAAGGAGGGCGATGACTATGAGGTGGATATTGGCGTTGAGGTGGAGGATTTAGTTAGCGATACAATTGGATGGGGAGGTGATATACAAAACTTTGTGGATGATATGGGATTTCTCGATCCTTCGCAACCTTAGATCAAAAGATAGAAGTGTAGTAATGCACCAGTTATTCTATTTCTCTATTTAGTTTTCGGTATGCAATTGTTTCTCTTGGCTACTGTTGTTATACTTTGTTAGTAGTACTGCTGCTCCAATTGGGTGCAAGATTGTAACAAAATTGGCAGGAAAAATGCCTGAGGAAGGATGTCAAGGTCTCTAGCTCATTGTTTTGCAAGGTAATGTGGTGTATGTCTTTAAGTTGTTTTGCGTATAATACTTACGTTCCACGCTATGTTTATTATTTCTTCTAGCTAATGCATCTCTTCCACTGTTGTGGGTTCATGTTCTAGATTGTTGATTGGGATTTTGCACGATGGTTTCTGTCTGTGAATCCGGTCATGTTGCTTTGCTTAATAATCTGGAAATGTTGGTGCATTCTCTAAATCTTGATGCATCATTTCACGGAACAAGAGGAGGAGCTCAACTGACACAGGTATTTCAGTCTTAAACTCCCTTTCGCAGTTGACTAGTAATGTTCCGATTACATTTAAAATATCAAGGTGCTTTTGACTTCTTATGTAGATTTCAGTTCTTAGAGTAAACAATATTCACTGGAATTTTTATGACAAGAAACCAACTGCACGATTGTGTCTTAGTAACGCTTGGATCGTAGGAGAAATCAAGCTATGCAGATTCCTTATAGACATCAACAAGGGAAAACCAAGTAACCAGAATAACAATAAATAAGTGCAGGAATTTCAACAAGCATTAAGGCAAGAATAATAAATGAGATACTGTATACTCCCTTCTGGCAAAGTATGTAAGTAGCTTACGCCTAGTTTGGTATGCGAGAATGAAATGTTCGTGTGGAGATGTTCAAGTGAGGTGAGAAAAGAATGAAACAAGGAATAGAATGGAGTAGATGTGGAAATGAGATGTTCATTTACATTCTCATATCTGGGTGCAGTTAGAGAATAAAGCGGGAATGAGTATGTTTGGAAGTTACGGATTTGTTTTATTCTCACTTAACTACTTAAGCGAGAATTGTTGGATTTAAATCTAATTAAATCTATTTGTGGGCACATATGATTAATCTGTGTGTATTGCTATCCTTCAGGATAACCTACTAAAGTGATCAATCAATTTGGGTTAATGAGTATTTAAATATAATCATGGGATTATATGTGCAGATACCAGGTTGTAATTGTAATTTGATGAGGGGTCAAATTATAAATGTACAACACCTATAAATAAGGGGTTATGGTCCCTAATCTAGGGTTACATTCTCTAATTCTCTTTACCCCCATCTCGAGAGAAATTTGGCTAGAGAAACCCTAAGGTTAGAAGATCATCAAAACCCTAATCAGGTTTTCTTCAATGGATTCAGATATATGTTTTCGTATTTTTTCTGATTCTTGTTAATCTCTTTGAATTAATCATGGCTTTAAGATTTAGATCTCAAGTTTATTTATTAGATCTAATAAGTGGTATCAGAGCCACCGTTGATTTGTTCTAAGAGATTAAGATTAAAATTAGGGTTCTTTGATCTTAATTTGTGTTTTATTCAGATCCGGCAATGGATGAACAGTAATGATTTTTTTATTTTTTGGATGACCAGTAAAAAATCATTGTGAACAGTAAAGTTTTTAATTTTTTTGATTTTTCCTTCGGTTTCTTTCTTGGATCTGGATCAAGAAAATTCATTTTCTTTTGATTATGGATCTGTTTTTTGAAATAAAATCGAGGAATTTTCGGATCTATTTTATTTTGGTCGTCGATCCCGTGCTCCTCGCCGGCGCAGCGTCGCTGGCGGCCTCGCTCTCGACTCCGACGGTGACGGCGGCGTCAGGAAACCCTAGGGTTTTGACCTTGGGTGCAGGAGCAATGACGGCGGCGGTTTTAGAATGAAACCCTAAGGGTTCGTGCGTGAAAACGTGCGGGAATTAAGGAGGTGGTTACCTTAATTTTTTGGCGAGCCTTGAAAGCTTTAAACGAACTTCTTGTTCGTTCTAAGGTGAGCCTCGCGCTCAGTTCTAAGGTGAGCCTCACGCTCAATTTAAACGAACTTCGCATTCGTTCTAAGGTGAGCCTCGCGCTCAGTTCTAAGGTGAGCCTCGCGCTCAATTCTAACGAACTTCACGTTCGTTCTCAGGTGAGCTTCGCGCTCAATTTAAGTCGAACCTCGCGTTCGTTCTCAGGCGAGCCTCGCGCTCGATTCAAACGAACCTCGCGTTCGTTCTCAAGTTAAACCCTGCGTTCGTTTTCAGTCAAACTTTGCGTTTGTTTTCAGTCGAACTTCGCGTTCGTTTTCAGTCGAACTTCGCGTTCTTTTTTTTTCAAACGAACCTCGCGTTCGTTCTCAAGTTGAACATCACGTTCATTTTTCAAACGAACCTCGCGTTCGTTCTCAAGTTGAACATCACGTTTATTTTTCAAACGAACATCGCGTTTGTTCTTAAGTTGAATATCACGTTTATTTTCAGACGAACCTTGCGTTCGTGCTTAGGTGAGTCTCGTACTCAATACAGACGAACCTCGCGTTCGAAGTCAAGCGAACTTCATGTTCACTATGGTTAAGCCTTGGCTTCTCATATTAAATTATGGGTCCACTTTGGTATACTTAATTTATTCAATTAAGTTATGGGTCCTATTTAAGCTATGGAAATTTAAATTAAATTAAATTAATTTAAATTTAATTTGGCAGTTAATCAATTATTTAATTTAAATATTATGACACTAAGGTATTAAGGTTGTCTCTCACTCTAATTGTTTAATTAAAACAAGAAGTTGCCAAAGTAACATCTCTTGTGTAGATTATTCATGAGGAATGTGAGATGTTTGTGTGTATGCTTTTGTGTAAATATTTAATCGGCTGAAAGAAAGGTTAATATTTATTTAGACTGCATACACATCTGTGATGACAAACGTGTGATAATTATAAGGTTTACATGTGAATAATGAATCGATCTAAAGATAGTTTCATTATTTGACATGAGTTATTGTCAATGTTTGATCATTGCAACAAGGTATCACTTGCAATTAATATTACTGTCCAAAGACTTGATATTAATGTTGTACCAGATATCTTGGATGAGATTTGTCATTATTTAAATTTTATTGATTACTAATTATGGTTATTGATGTGAGTATTTTTGTTTTATTTCAGCTAATGCATCTGTTGTAACAATTTCTGCTAACATCAACTCAATTCCCATGCTAAATGAGACAAACTTTAAGCTTTGAAAAGAGAATATATTAATTGTTCTTGGCTGTATGGATCTAGACCTTGCATTAATAACTGAACAACCCTAACATCTCAATGCGGATACCACTCCTGATGCAAAGAAGAAGTATGAGAAGTGGGAGCGTTCAAATCGCATAAGTCTTATGATCATTAAGCGCAGTGTTCCGGAAGCTTTCAGGGGCATAGAATCCGAAGGGATTACTAAGGCTAAATATTTCCTTACCGAAATTGAGAAGCGTTTTACGAAAAATGATAAGGTAGAAACAAGCACGTTTTTAGCTCGCTTGATTTCAATAAAGTATAAGGGCAAAGGAAATATCAGGGAGTACATTATGGAAATGTCTCATATTGCTTCAAAGCTTAAGGCACTTAAACTCGATCTTTGTGATGAGTTATTAGTGCATCTGGTTTTATTGTCTCTTCCTGCACAATTCAATCAGTTTAAGGTCAGTTATAACTGTCAAAAGAAAAAATGGACTCTAAATGAACTCATTTCATACTGTGTGTAAGAAGAAGACAGGTTGAAGCTAGATAACACAGAAAGTGCTCATTTGGCCTATGCCTCTAAGGATAAGGGCAAGAAAAGAAAGAATGATAATGAAGCTGCTAAAGGTCCAGTTCAAAAGAAACAACATAAGGATAATCAGTGTTGTTTCTTCTGTAACAAGCCTGGACACGTAAAAAATGATTGTACCAAATATCATGCCTGACGTGCTAATAAGGGTACGTTCCTTACTTTGGTCTGTTCTGAGGTTAATTTAGCTTCAGTACCTAGAAACACTTGGTGGTTAGACTCTGATGCTACTACTCACATAAGTGTTTCTATGCAGGGTTACCTGAGCTATCGAAAGCCAAGTGATATTGAAAGACATATCTTTGTGGGCGACGGACAATCGGTATATGTGGAAGCAATTGGGCATTTTAGGTTGCTACTAGGAACTGGTTCTTATTTGGACTTAAAAGATACTTTTGTAATACCGTCTTTTAGACGAAATTTGATTTCAGTTTCTGTATTGGACAAATCAGGTTATTCTTGTTTATTTGGAAACAATCAATTCAGTTTTGGACAAATCAGGTTATTCTTGTTTATTTGGAAACAATCAATTCAGTTTATCTTTTAATTCAAATATTATGGGAACTGGTTACTTGAGTACTTATTTGGAAACAATCAATTCAGTTTATCTTTTAATTCAAATATTATGGGAACTGGTTACTTGAGTACTTATAGCAATATATATTTGCTCGATATAATTGCTTCTTATAATGAATCCTTGCATGTGGAATCACGTGGTACTAAGTGTAAATTAAATAAGAAAAATTCGGCGACATTATGGCATAAGTACTTGGGTCATATCTCAAAAGGTAGAGTTGAACGTCTTGTGTTTAATGGCATTTTGGATTCCTTTGATTTTTCGGACTTCGACGTATGTGTTGAATGTATCAAGGGGAAACAGACCAAAGTTAAGAGATTAGGTGCCAACAGATCTTTGGATGTCTTAGAATTAATACATACGGATATTTGTGGGCCATTCCTTACGGCATCTTGAAATGATCAACAATATGAGTACCTATATCTTATTCATGAAAAATCTGAATCTCTAGACATGTTCAAAACCTATAAATCTGAAGTTGAGAATCAACTCAACAGAAGAATTAAAACCGTTAGATCTGATCGTGGTGGTGAGTACTACGGCAGATATGATGGTTCAGGTGAACAACATCCAGGACCATTTACTAGATACTTAGAAGAATACGGTATCGTCCCACAGTACACCATGCCGGGTTCACCTAGCATGAATGGTGTAGCTGAAAGACGAAACATGACTCTTAAGGATATGGTAAGAAGTATGATTGCTCATTCTTTTTTACCAGAGTCACTCTGGGGAGAAGCACTAAAGACAGCAGCTTACATTCTGAATAGAGTACCAAGTAAAGTAGTTGCTAAAATACCTTATGATCTTTGGACTGGTCGAAAGCCCAGTTTAAAGCACTTACATATTTGGGGATGTCCAGCTGAGGTAAGGCCTTATAGGCCAAATGAAAAAATTAGA